AAGTGGAAAGCAGCTAGTAAAATAATGATATCTTAACAGTGTGCAATGCGGAAGTATAATAGATATCTAACATTGATAGACTTTTGTATAAATGCGTCTTGCTGGTGGGGAGAGTGGAAATGCAATCACTGATTGCAGTTAAAGTGACTTGATTTGAGAGCCCCATTCTCTTTTCTAGAATATATGTGTCACTGCTCAGAGAATGTTCTTTGCCTAAAGATCATAAACTAATTATTTCAATGAGTATAGCAATAAACTTTTCTGACCTTAAAATTGACAAGTCAAGAAGAAAATTCAATGTGATACTGATGGTTTGTCAGAAGATTATTGTTCCTATGAAAATATTATATCTATATAACAGTATTCTTCCCATTTTTCTTTTTGTAGTTAAAGTAAGGGTGAAATTATCAAAATCAAATCTGAAAAGGAAATCAGGATAGCATGGGATGTTCATGGGGAAAAAAAAATACAAGTGTCGTTGTGCTATGAGATTTCAGGGGATATTTGAAGTTCTGCATCAGCCAAGTGATACAGAGAAGGAAGATATTTTATTGGATTTGTGTCTATCTTAGTGCTCAATGGCTGTACCTCAGAAGAAAATATCCTAAGGTATCCTAAACTACTTGGATACAAAATATTTTTGAACATAATCATAGGATGTGCCAGTATGCTTTGAGGATGATGTGTAAGGTTTTCCTGGGATCCATAAAACTTAAAGGGATAATACTTTAGAGTAGATTGCAAAACATTTTTCTTACGGTAAATCTTAAAATTTCTTCTCTGTACTTTTTTTTCTAAGGCAGTGTTCAAGGAATAGGTTGAAACTGCCTTTTGTGTCAATTTGGTGCCTGTATTTTCACTGCTGAATCAGTTTGCATCACAGATCCTATTAATTATTTATCCCTGTTTCTTTCCTCTATCTTAAGATATGGGCTTTTTACCTACATACATAGGAAATAGATATAAACATATGTATAGAAAAATATGCACATGTATATATGTGCATGCAGACATCTGTCTATCCTGAGCAGTTTCGAATATTCTAGAGAAGTCTCAAATGATAGGAAGAGACTGAACAGTAAAGACTGAAGAGGTAATTAATTAGTACATACCAAATTTTTAGGTTGATAATGATCTGAAACAAGAACATTAATTTAAAGACATCATAAGCAGGTCATCTGTTGTTTCTCTGCAAAGTTCACTGGAATCATAAAGGTATCAATAAACTTGTCAGCTTTCGCAATTTGCTCTGATTTCACTCAGAGTTTAATCATTATGCCTCTATTTTGTATCGAATGGTATAACTAACTTCTTCTATTAAAGGAAATTATTGACTTCATATTTTGAAATTAACTGTTATTTTATCCTTAAAATCCTTAGCATCCTTAAATCGAATGGTTTTGTGTTATATTAAATCTTCCATTAGTATTCCCTGCAGCTTCTGTTTGCAGTTGTAGGGGACCATTTGATAAATCTGACATTGCCTGAATAAATATTTTCCCTTATTGTGAGAGGTGCTAGCACAATTGCCTGAGCAAATCTACGGCTTTCATGGCCAGTGCATGGTGAAAATTGGTGCAACTACAGGACTGGAGCTTAAATTAGTATAAACAAAATCTCTGTCTTGTCATCACATCAACAGGTGTATTTAAATCCTTGTTACATACCTCCCAACTTCTTCCTGTAAGTAAATTAGTTACCACTAAGCTTCAGGAGCCTGAGAGATTAAATTTTAGATGTCATCCCAGGCACTCAGATGAGGCCTTTCTCTTTTTCATTTCTGTTGAGTTCATGCACCCCAGTGACCAAATGAGTAACTGGATTTGACCATGGTAGAAAAACATTTCACGATATGTTAACTAAGCTAAACCTCATTGCAACATTTTCTTTTATGTGGACATATTTTGACATCTTTTATTTAGACTGAACAGGCTGAAGATGAGACCTAGTTGTCCTCAGAGTGTATTAGACTCTCTGTCAGAATTACCAATATATGTAAGATACCTGGTGAATGCAAAGGACTGAATTGTGACTGTATGTCACTGTGAGTTATGTATGATATATATGTGGCTATGTGATTTGAATACATAGGGTATGGAGTACAAAGTAATGGAGAAAAAGATTCTCGGGGCTACTAAGGGCATGATAATACCCACACGACCTGTGCCTAAGTAGAAGCAACATAAATGGGAGAAGTATTCCCTGTTTGACCAGTTTCCTGAAGCATCCACTCTAGGCCACTGTCAGAGCAAACATCCTGGATTTGCTGCTGCATGGCCAAGCCTAGCGGAGTCAAGTCAGTGAGGTCAGCCCTGGCTCAGACAAACACTCCCTTGAATGCCCATAGCTGCCTTTAGAAAATAGATGCATTACTGCTGTGAAGTAAATTGTCTTACTGGGCTAATGGATTGTTTGTCCTGAGTCTAAATTGAATCTTTCCCTCTCAAGAAAATGTAACACAGGGCTGCCATCTACCAATGCATTTCTTGTGTGCCTGTGAGTCACGCTGTATTTATTTACATTACATTCTGCATTTTTTGGTCATTACTTTTTCCACAAGATGTGTTTAAGAGACCAGTATTCGGTAAAATAAATACAAACTCTTCTTCCATTGACTTCAAGTAAGAAGGACTGAATATAAGCTGTTACTCTCTCTTGCAAAGCAAAGCGGGAATTTAATTTACAATTGCAGAGTATCCACAGACTCTGCACATTTTCTGTACACACTGAGAATGTTCACATGCAAAGATACACTTAACCTGGCTCGCATGTCCTTCCAGCACTGAACTACCCTCTCACCCCTAGAGGTCCTTCCAAACCAAGGTTGAGGTTGAAAGATCAGCTGGGTAACATGGTCAACTCTGCCTCATAAGCTTCTGTGCTGCCTATTCTGTAAATAAGCAGAAGACTTCTGTCTCCTGAACTTAGTAAACACAACGCTGTATTAATGTTAAAATAAACAGTAGCAGGAAAAGATGTCTCTTCTAAGAAGACAAATCACAAGTGGGCATTGGAATAGATCTTCTAAAAAAGGGAAGATCAAGATAATACTGATGACACAAGCATGTGCTAATCCTTTTTATTTTTTATATGTGTTTTTTATAGCCATTTACAGCCCATCAAAATTAGGTAGTCATAAATAATAATA